ATAATAATAATAATAATAAGTTACTTATTATACTAGACTGTCATGGCCGCCGCTCTTTGTTCTATATTAAAATTTCACTGCGTGCGCTGGTGCGAACTATAAACACACAAAATGAAGGGCAAAACACCAGTCTTTCTTCTGTGTAGAGACTGCACGCAATCGTTCCCTTCCTCTCCTTCATTTGGTTCCAAGCAGAGTCAAATGGTGCACTCCACAATGAACCACAACTTTGTCATAGTCATAGTGCACAGTCTTTGATATTATATTACACGCAAGTAGTGAAAACGAACAATTACCACGACCTACACGATGCAGTTAGTAATATTAACCAGCGTATTGACAGAAACGATTTGAAAAATGATTGTTGTGTGTTACCTCCAGGAATCTGGAAAAGGGAATCTGCAAAGTTAAGCAATAAAACCCGCCTTCGGGTCATGATATTGTTGTTTGAACAGTCAGTTTAGAGAACTCCTCACCGAAGAAAAGAACGCCAGGGAAAACGAAATGTTGGTTAAGTCATCCATCAACCATGCCTTCTCGATTCCACAAACATTCTGTTTTCTTGAACAACCAAACACCAACATTCTCGGGTAATGGTCCAATCCATCTCTCGTGGGCAATAAAAACGACAACAAACCGCCCCCCCCCAAACCACCCACCTTTTCCACATGTACAAGCATAGGCTGTCTGACCTTTCAAGATTTAGAAAGCCAACAAACTTAGAAATTGAATAGGAGTCTTGGAGGAGAAGCGGAAGGGGATACTCACGCGCTGAGGACTCGTCTGAGATAACGTCACAGTTGGATGTATAACACGGAGGGAGTGGTGATACCCCAACAGAAGTGATTGTTTTTACTGTCTGTACATGTAGAGAGATGTAAAAGAACGAAAAATACCATAATATTGTAGTAATATGAACAAGCAACAAAACAAACTTCTAAAGTGAAAGAACGATTTAAAAAGTTAATGTTTGCAAAACGAGTTTTTGGAGTAAGAGGCGCGAATCAGAATGAATTTATAACACCGAATCTACATAATAGAAAGACTGGGCTATGAATTGAAGTACTCGGAACAATCATGCGTTTTCAAGGACGAAGAAACATTAATATATCACAGCGTGCTTCAAACTACCTCTTGTGAGCTTGATTAAAAAAGTAAAATAAGAAGAAGAAAACACCCAATTTCCCCAAATATTAAAATTTAGGCAGGGCCCGAACATCTATTGTCCATTTACATGTAGACGTAACATTTCATTTTCTCTCCTAGCTCAAAGCCGCTAAACTTTGTCCAATACCTTTTTTAACATCTGAAAGCATGTGATGAGGGATCATAGATCACGCTGCTTCTGAAAGCTCTCTTTTTCCGAGGTCATCTCGCAGCTTGCGTATCCCTGTGGCGTTGTGAGTTGCCCCCAGGACCTTTATCTGCTATATTCTCTTATTTATGTTGGGTGAGCTGGGAGGAAGAGACGTGTGGGCGAGATAGGGGCACCAGGGAGCTCTCGCCGGAGACAGGAATCTGAGAGAAAGAAACATAACTCACTGGAATAAAAAATACATTATTAAATTTCGAAATTCAAAGACTTTGAACTGTTTAATCACGGGAACCCCCCCCCCCCCTCCCCCGAGAAAGGCTAAAGAAACGCGCCAAAACTTTGCCAACAAAAAGTTAAAAGGAGTAGCAAATCATGTGCAGTTGGAATAAGACGGTGGCCATTACAATGCAGAATGTGTGATCACATTTTACTCCACTCGAAGGAAGAAACTGCACAAGTAAAAGGCAAAATGTGATTAACAGCCAAATATCTAACTCCTTCACCTTGAGGGACGGGGTGTGACAAAGCAAAAGAAGATTCAGACCAATGCTTGTCAGTCTTTTTATAGCCACTGCCAACTTCTCTCTCCTTTAAGAAGCTAAAGACCAACACGTATTTACAAATTGGGCATACAGAAACACCTGTCACTTCCCCCTGGTGATTCCCACCTCCTACCAAAAGAACCAAATCATCCGAAGGTGGGTGAGACTACCAACGTTGGCAAGCACTGTAGACAATAATACAAGGAATAAGAGTGGGCCGAGGCATGGATCTATATGGGAGATCATTCATGATTTTACACAGCATTCGACACAATTTAGTTCATTTAGGAGCCCAACAGCATTTACACTGTCTCCCAGGACGTCCCTGACTGTGATAATATTATGCTATATCTCAGAAGTTTATATATGTATTTTGTGCACATATATATTCACAAACACTCAAACACACGTTCACATATTTCACACACACACACACATACACACACACACACACACACACACACACACACACACACATGCACAGAGAGAGAGAGAGAGAGAGAAACATACACACATATATACACACTCAAGCACACACAAAACATACAGACACATAAAATAAAGTGTAACAATTTAAAGCGGTAAAAAGAAATTAATGGTTTGTCAAATATTTTCCATGAAGAGGAATCGATCTCCTCTCTCTTTACATAGAAGGTTATGAGCCGATCACGACAAGAAAACACTGTTAGATTCCTCATCTATCTCCAAGTACAAAAATATCACATACCGCGGAAATGCGGCAATAAATCTTTAGTGCACTTTTAAATAAACAAATAAAGGAAGAAGAAACCGTTTCATTTTCTCTAACATATTTTCCCGGCTGGTTAACACCTTAAAGAAAATAAATTCTTTCTTTCCCTTTACCCATGCTCCGTTTTTCAATTTTCAGCGTGTAGGAAGCGTGTGACGACTGTACATAG